AAAACAATTGAACTCTAAATTGATGGCTACCATGAGCAAATTCTATTTCTTATACAAGAAAAACTAACATGAAAACTATCTTTTTTATGTGGCAAAGGACCTTAAACTTTTGCAGATCTTAAATTTAATTTTAAAGATAAAAAGCATTTATAATGCTGCTAGGGACCCAAATTCTACACAATTACTTAAAAACTAAATTTTTACAAGCTAGTTATGAAATCTAAACGGCCAAGATTAACTAGAGTATCCATAAATGCATTTGCACCTTTAAAAAAGAAACAAAATGGTTCCAAATGAACTGAAGTGGTCCACTGCAGAATGAACTGCCGCTGGGGGCAAAGTCAGCACTGGCAAGACTGAAGCTCTGAGATTTTATTCTAGTCTTCCAAGTCTCAGTATGAATTCCATGGCCTACACCTCAGGGAAGACTTGGTTAGAGAAACAATAATGAGTAAATGTATTTTAATGTGGATAATAATGTGTTTTTTCACATTCTGAGATAGTTTACAATTTTTAGTTTTTAATACAAAAGCTCAATAATAAAACTACTAAACTCTTTATTATCCAGATCCTGCTAATACAACCTGTATCGAATGCACACTCCTACATACCATGCTCTTCTTGGCTTCTGCCCTTTAGTAACTGCTCTATCAACCCACAGTTCAGCAAAGAATGAAAATGAGCAGGAAAGCAGTTCACTTTTCACTAACCAGCTCGTGGCCAGGTGAAGCTCGCCAGCACTGAGAGGCCTCCCTCCCAAGGGCGCAGCTCTGTGTGGGGCTGCAGCCCCACCAGCTGCCGCGAAGCAACGCTGGGCTACCCGGGCTACAGGAAGCGCTGCGCTCTACTGAGCGCAGAGTGTGAGTTTTGGTCCAATACAGTAACAATATATTTTTCAGAGAAAATGAAAAGGGGGAAGAAAGACATAAAAACACTAAAGAAGTAAAAAAAAAAAAAAAAAAAAAAAGTATATGTCATGTACATTGACTCACAGAAACTTAAGGCTGAAAGAGATACATGTATGAAAAGGAATACAAATCACACCAGTAAAGAGTTCAGCTCGGGGTCTGCCTGCAGACAAGCCCAAGCTCCATCGATCGCTTACTAGCTGAGTAAGTTGAGCAATTTTTTTATAAAACTAACGACAGATCTACTTCACATGCTTGCTTTAAAATTAAACTATAATGTAATGTGGGTGTGCCTAGCACTTAGTAGGACTTAAAAAAAAAAAAAAAAAAAAACACTTTAGTAATATTAGAATCATGATCTGGTCCCACTGTCCTCCTTTTATAGAAAACAGAACCAGAGCTGGGGAGATAGCTTGGTGGCATAAGCGCCTGCGCTGCAAGCAAAGGATCCAGAGTCCTATCCTGAGCACCACAAGCCATGCTGGCCCCGCAACCGCAGGCACACTATGCTGGCCCTGAAACCAGGTGTGGTGGTTCACGTCAGACAGTAGGGAGACCCTGAATCAATTAAAAAAAAAAAAAATCTGTGGCCTATAGAAATGAAGACTGCCCCGAGTTCCATAGTTCCATAATGTTTTTTGTTTGTTTGTTTGTTTTTGGGTTTTTTTTTGCGGAACCAGGGATTGAACTCAGGCCCTTGCACTTGCCAGGGAAGCGCTTATCCTACTGAGCCATCTCCCCGGCCCCATAATGCTTTCTGATGGCAAAGCCTGAGTATGAGAACTCTGACACCCTGCCTTTGGGGACCATAATCCACCACTTACCAGAAAAACCTACACTGAGAAGATGAGACAGCAAATGTTAACCAACGATGATGCCGATTCTCACCATTTGTTTTTAAAACATGCCACACAACATTCTCTCCACCCCCAAAAGAGGCTCTAAGGCAAATCCTGGGTAGGATGGCTATCCTAAGGGACCCCGGGACCTCACTCTGAAAGGTACTACAAACACCAAGAAGCCTGACACTGTCCTGATGTCAGAGTCACCTACACAGCTCCACCCTGAGTACAGCAGAATCACAGGGACGGCATCCTCAGTGGTGACTTGAAATATCCTCAGGTAGCTCTGGCATGTGGTCAAGTGAGATGTCAATAAAGAATCCATTATCTCTGCTGATGTCAAACTGGCAAGTTTAGGCAACGAAATTAAAGAAAAATGTTTTGTGGAGACATCTCCAAGCAAAGGCAGGAGACGTCAAAAAATATGGGAAGCTTGTTGATCTCCACGGAATCCCTGAAAAAGGCTCCCCCAAAGTGATGACACCCTTGCTTGTGATACACACCCTTCAGGTGACCCTAGGGACACCAAGCTCTGATCTATTCCCCTCTCACACTTCTTAAGAGATGGGTCTTGCTAGCCTGCTCAGTTTGGGGTACAGTGCCATTCACTGGAGCAGTGACAAGCAGCATGGGTTGATTGTGACCCACTTCATCTCTGAACGAGGTCTGTTCACCCCTCCTTATGCTGAACTTAGTATAGACACTGCAATGAGCACACAGCACTATACCTCAACTCCTGGGCTCAAGTGATCTTCCTGCTCAGCCTCCTGAGTAGCTCGGACTGTAGACAGGCCACCATACGCAATCATGGCTTTAACAATTACGCGAAGTAGACGTTGTGTGACAGTTTAACCCAGCTAATCCCATTTACTATACTGCCTTAGTATGTTGCTTCTGTGAGTATGTACTACATCATTTTGTCTAATTGTTTTGCCCGTTTCATATAGTAGTTGTGAAGCTGAAATTGCACAGTTTTTCTAAAAGCATTTTCAATTCTAAAGCAACCTACAAACCTAAGACACTACTTTTTTAAAAGTTCACCTACTTAAGCTAATAAATATACAGCAGTTGACGAGTAGGACTTCTACTCACCAGCAAATAAGAAGGGCAGGCTGGCTGGCTTCCACAGAGGCCCAGGCTGAAGGGCCACTGTGGGCCAGCGCACCACTGCAAGGAATCAAGGTGGTGCTAAGCCGGCCAACCACACTGAGAACAACCATCACAGGACAGGGGAGGTCAAAACCAGTTACAGTGAGCTCAGAGAACTGTATGCTATTCTACTCAGAAGCTAACTGAAAGATCAATAAGCTCAACCCTGCCTATAACTAAGAGTACTGAGTCAAACAGGAATCGTATCAACAAGAACTTGAAGAAGGAATAAACAGGAGTGTTAGCCAACAGAACATTGTGAGTATGAAATACTAGTGAAGGACGAGGAACTCTCAATTTCACCTAGTTCTACAATGAAAAATGAAGAATCGAATGCAAGATCCACAGTTCTGAGAGCAGCCTGAATCAAAGACAGTTAAGTAAAGAAAGCAGGACACTGCCAAATGAATAGAAGGCTGTAGGGGAAGTATCAAACTGCTGGATTCCGGCTATGTCACACAGCAGTGTCCTTCGCAATGAAGGGAAAGGAGAGGTCAAACACCTCCAATGAAATAATAACTATCTCCTCAATTTTGATCCAAAGGACGCCAAGTTTTGTTACGTACCTCCATATCTCCATTATTTAAGAAATTTTTATCAGGACATACATAGTAGGCAATGCTCACAGTCCTTGTGTGCACATGCAATGCACACCTCAATTCCTTTTCTCATTCCCTTTCCCTCCCCTCCCTTGAAATTTCAAAATTCAGTGAAACCTAGGACTGCGAGTGAAATCCTTGCAGTGAGGAGAATTTATTTTAGGATTTCTATGAATGAAAAAAAATTAAAAACTATGCAGCTTTTTTAAAGCAAAGTACACCTCCTCAGAAACAAAAACAGCTGAAAAACATATGTGAAAGTAAATTAAGTGCCGACATGCATAGACATGTAGCAAGCAAGCAGTGCTCTTACACGGGCCTTTATGTTAGCCCCACACCGGTAACAACAGGCTGATGCTTTCCTTTCTAAAACATAACCACTGTAAAATGTAAACAGAGCTGGTGACATAATACTGGCAAGGGTGTGTGGTGTACAGAAGCTGGGACACCTCATGGAGAACTCAGCAGCAAGGTCAATGACAGCTGTGTACTCTCACCCCTATAAAATCCCTGTCACTGCAAATGACCGCTCCTCGTGACACAAGGGCCCGCCCGAGAACGTTAAACAGCACAGACACCATTTATTTCTAGATTGTGTTAAAAATAATAATAATAAAGTTAGAAATAGCTTAAGGAAAAATCTGTCAACTCCCTACTACTTATATGTTGAAAGTGCTTGTCATTTAAGACAAATAACCCCAGATACATAACTTTGTCTAAAGGTAAGTACCAGTGTTACGGATAAAGATCTTGACTTCCTGGTGGTATGTGTCATATTCAAATTCTTAAGAAATGATGCCCTAACGGTTTCTGGATGCATACTGGAGCCAAAGAACAACCCCAGAAGCAAAGGGACCGAAGACATTTGAGTAGTTTCTTCTGCCTCCACCCTCAGCACACACAGAGCTGAAGGCAAAAATGTGTGTATGTTTGTGTATGTTTTTGTGCATGAAAACTGGTACAGACCTGGGCTTTGACTTTTCAAACTTATGAAATAGCAAATCAGAATCACCTGGGAATAGTACTGTATCATACATACTCAAGATCTCGTACAACAGCCAAGCCACTGTCTTTTCATGACTGCTTTCATTTTTTTAATTTTGCAGTTTTTAACTGACACATAATTACACCTATTTACAGTGAGCACTATGACATATATGCACTGTGCATATATATGCATACAATACACGCATACAATTTCTAACGATCAGATTAGCATGACTGACAGTTTCAAGTATTCAATGGCCATGACTATTCTCTGATGTAACTTTTGCCTACAATATAATTAATATTTTATAGGATAGTCCCTAAGAAGTTCAAGAAAAGGGATGTGGAAAATATAAAATACAACTGCAATAAGTAAAGGTATGCAAAGAAGTATATAGTATTCACATAAATGAGTATCAAATGACTTGAAAAGGATAAATCACAAACTCTCAGTCTGGCAAGAACACGCAGCCCACTTATTTACACGCTAAGCTCAGGCGCTGCGCCTCACTTACCTCATTGCCAAATGTGTCCTTCGAAACTGAGGACACAGTACAGAGGGAGCAGCATCTCCTTTTTTTAAACTGAAAATGGTGAGTTTCACAAGGGCAAAACTTCTCAGTGTTTTGCCTTTCTTGGACTCGGCTCCAAGTTTTTGATGGGTTTTCAGCAAAGCTACTTTTTTCAAGTGATTTCTCAGTACCACAGTGAAGGGAGCTTAAGCTGGCTGCCTTCTGGAAAGGAAAAACCCCAGCTTTTCTCTGGAATGTCCCTTCTCCTGCGTCGACATCACCCACACGCTGCTTGCTCCCTGCACAACAGTGAGTGTTCTCTGTCTCTGAACTCTTTCCATCTGGAGCACCCTTCTGTGCTTCTGTCTCCCTGTGCTTAACAGGGGACGCTTTCCCTGCATGAGACCAACTGCTTGCAGCAGCGGGGACAAGTTTCGGTCTGGCCCTGTCAGCTACAGCCTGTGTCGTCTCTTGCTGAAAACCATCTTCCAGGGTGGGGCGTGGGGCAGCAGAGTCCGTCGGTGCCTGCGCTCTGCACAGAGGAGCTGGCTGCCGCCCTAAAAGCTGCATGTCACCCTTCGTGCCTTCATCTTCCCTCTTCTGCTGCGTCGACTCTGGGTCACCTACACTCTTCCGGGTCGCCTGTGCTCTGAAATACTTTCTTCCAGGAGAGCGTCTGTCAGGGCTCAGCGGAGTTTTGGCAGGATCTAAGTACTGCTCTTCCCTCTCAGCTCTCACGCAGCCACACACATTCCCCATTTGATCTGAAGGAAATCACAGCTTCACAAACTCACTCATTTCAAAACCGGAGCTTCCTCTGAAGTCTGAACGCTCCAGGCCGGCCGCTAATTCCCCACAGGCTTCGTGGCCAACCTCCTCAGCCTGTGGCCATCTTGCTTATGGGAAAGGCACACACAAGAAAGGCCGTGGCAGCCTGCCCAGCCCGGTCCCTGTGTCTCATTAGACGCCATGGCTCATTTCTGAGCACCAATCCTCTGAAGCAAACATCACTGCTCCCTGTCAAATTACAACACTGGGGCGCTTCCAGGGCAAATCCTGAGGTTTACTGCTGGAGAAGATTATGACCCTGTTTCCTGAAACGCAGACTTTATCAAAGTCTGCCTTAACCTTTGAAACTACTGGTGGTTCAACAAATCTGAGCACAAAGAGAAAGCAAACTCCAGTCAAGAGAGACTTAGCACAGGGCCTTTAGAATTTAGTTTCAAAGTGCCTTTCAAATCGCCTTAGGCAGCCTCTACCACATAACTGCTATCCTTAGGAAACACCACCCAGTTTTTTTATTTTGTACACAACCAAAAGCTTGAAAATCTCTAATTACATTGATTCTTATTCAAAAGAAGTATAAAAATATGATTCTGTAATTAGCAGGAGAGATAATAATAAAGTTGTCGCTAAAATCAATCTTGTTAAAAAAAAAAAAAAGCTTGGACTATTTGTCAGACAACATAAATTTCTAAGCCACTGCTATTATCTGATCATTAGGATCTTCAGAAGAGCCAACAGATGCATGAAATTATTTATTACCCAAGGTAAACACCTGCGCGTTTTTACACAGGAATCGCGGCAGTTAAAACTTTGTATATAACCTTTAAAACTGCACCCTACTTAGATATTACCCAGCTTTAGCAGGGCCTTGCTGGGTATCAGCCCAGAACCTCATCAGCTAAGGTGTGCATACCTCTGACACTGAGTCACGGGTGTGGGACGAAAGGAAATTAGCGCAGCACAAAGCGGACTTTGGAAAGCAAAAGCCATCTGACCCTAAAAATAAATTGGCAACTGCTTTCTCTAGGTAGTCTTTTAACTGACCAGAACATGTAACTGAGTATATTTTACTAAGTAAGACGGTTAACAGTGGTGACCATGACTTGTCCTTCAATGTGAGGTTTTCCTTAATTGGTTAAAAAGGCAATTGAACATTCTCCATTGCCAAAAAGTAAGTACACTAGAAGAGAATTGGGCAAAAATAAGGTCTTAACTTGGTTGGTTTCTTGTTAATTTGATTTTTAATGTCTTCATAGTCAAGGAGGCATCCCTCAATCAAAGGGATATTTACATGTTTACGGGGGAGTTTACACTCACACTTGAGAGCGCCAGTCTGGGGCCTGCACCTCTCCACCCTGCCCTCCAGCCCTGCCAAGACAAGCAACTGTCCACTTGTAGGCCACACATACCCCGTTCCTTCTTCTAAAAATGGCCTCAGCTTCAGTATCCGCCTATTAACTGGCATTCATCCTGCAATCCTTCTGATATCCATAAAAGTTTCTTATTCTCTAATCCCTTCCCAACCCCATCACGACAGTTTCCCTCACATATATTCATTTGTATTTTTATTTATATCACAGTAGATTTATCACCTTTAATTTTGGTTAATTTCCTGGACAGCCCCCTAGTACACAGGACAATCGGCCCCATTATCTTAGTATCTGTGGGTCCATCATAGAATGCAGCTAATGACACAGGACTTCCAAGAGGCTAATACCTGCCACCTTTGGACTGTCTCCCTGAAAAACTGATCCAGTCCACAATGCCCCAAACAAATGATTTTAAAATAAATAAAGGAATTTTTTTACATGACTTCCCTTATTTATGGAAAGTATAGAAGGAAAAAGGCACAGTCACCCGGAGTGAGGATAATTCCCACTGTTATAAATAGCTTTACATCTTGGCATAATCAGAAACTAGCTCTAATCTTGAGTTACGAAGTACTAAGAGAAGTTATTGTATTAAATAAGAAGGTACACTTTCAATTTAACCATAACCTAGGTACATTCCATTTTAAAAAAATCTTGGTCTAATTTTTAAATACTGGTGCCAACAGCTGTTAACCCCTGATTCACGGCAGACCACCATCCCATTGAACCAGTAGAAGATGTGGTCTCCCTCACCATCACCGCTGTCCCCGGGCACTCTACTGCTTTCTGATCCTTACCAAAATTGTCCCATCTTCTACACTCTGTGGTCGCTCCCTTCCTTTCTTCTTTAAAATATCATCTCTTGGATTCAGTCTTTCCCCTATCCAAGCCTTGGCCTTTATCACTATATTCTGAGATTGTCATCTCACCTCAACATTCACCTTCATCTCCTTGACTTTGGTCTCTGCTCATTTCTATCTATTTTAAGTGAAACTGGTCTAGTTCCTAACATGCAACTTTCTAAGCTCAGAGTGGTTAAATTACTTCCATCCTAGCAATGCCAACACAGCTATAAGTTAAAAAATAAAACTAAAAGCCCATAGTAAAATCTTAGTCATTTCTTCTCCTAAGGCTCAGATGCTTTCTACTACCAATGGTGATCAGTAGAACGACATTCAAAATCCAGACACCACCTTCCCCTTGAGCTCTGTGGTGCTCTGGATCCCTCTGAGACAGGCCTGACTTAGCCCTCTGCAGTTCCTGCATTCGCTGTAGGGTCCTAAGCACTTAAGAGGAATTCAACGTTGCCTAAGAAGCTCCTGAAGAATTTCAGAAGAAATTAATTTTGGGTCCAATTCTACTTGGACCTCAAGTCATTTTGGGGAACAAGGTACAGCTATGTGCTGCATTTCCACGTCACTGTCACAGTTACGCGCTTAATCCCCTCGCTATCTAAAGCTGGGGATATCCTGTAGGTCGTCGACAGCCCAGCTAACCAACATTCACCTCAGCGGCCACCCTGGATTCTGACCGGCGGCCTGCCATCTTTTCTCCACCTACCCAGGCCTCCCCCAGCACCCTACTGCTAACACTGCTTAGCTGCTGGTCCGGTCCTGGAACTCAGCTAGACATCATCCCTGCACACTCCAGCTGTCAGACAGCCCATTCCCACATGAGCCGCTTTATCTCCCACTGATCCCCTATAAACACTGGATCTCAGACAATATTTTTAAGTCTTATTCCTCTTGAGATTGGGTCCGCCCCTACCTCCTTTCAGAAATACCTTCTTCAACTTGCACGGTAATCAAGACATGCCATGTCTGCTCAAGTTAGGCTGCGCTGCCAACCGAACATTGCACCCACTGATAGGCACTTAACACCCCAATGCAAGCTCCAAGTAATCACCCTACGTCAGAGAAGATTTTTATCCAAAGTGTACTGTTTTACAAAACTAAATCAGAACCAGTCTTCGCTTGGAAATTCATTACATCAAAACTTAACTCATAGTAAATGAAGCTGAACGTATTCTCCTCAAATGGATCCTGAGGAAGCACAGACGTCCACAAACACACGCAGCACAGCACTCTGCCGCTAGTTCGGCGCCCAACCTTTCAGAATTCTCCTGCCATCTAGTGGCAGTCACAGGAAAAGCGCAGTCACAACATGCATACACGAAGTCAAGGGTGGTGGCACAAAACACTTAAGTGTCTAAAACAGGATAATAGTATCCAAAGAACAAAAGAAATGTATCTGCATTCAATAAAAAAAAAAATCTGTCTTCCAACTCTATGATTAAAAGCACTGTCCTTAAATTCCATTTAAGTTCATAGAGAACGGGAAGAGATGCCACGTTCATAAACAGCATGTTTTTGAAAGAATTTAAATACATTGTTCAAAATAAATGTTGTTTAACAAAAACAGCCTGAAATCTATTTTTCTTTCACATGATATAAAACATCTTTCATATGAACTACCTACAAGCCATCCATAAAAAGTTTTAAAATGATAAACAAGGAAAGTTGGGCTTACCTGAAAGTGCAAAATTATTGTCCATATTAGTCCCAAAGTTAACTTTGGATTTCCATCTGTTATGTCATCATTTCTAATATTCACTAATTTCACCTGTTTTATATGTAAAGAAGAGATAAATTATTTACCAAATCAGTATATTAATTACCTTTCCTTACATGAAAGCAATTCTAAATTACATACAGAATACAATAATCACCAAAATACTATTTTATCACCACCCTCAATTATTTTAGACAGCAAAATATAGTGTAGAGTCAGCACAAAAGAAAAAATGCATGTGTATTAAAAACATTCATTAGTGAAAAACATAATTGTAAAGTTCTAAGTATTATTTATGATCTTAAAATTGGAAATAATGTGTCTTTGAAAAATAACCTTTCTTTTACTCCTACCATTAAGCAGGAAGCTATTCTGAATCACAAAAGTATTTTGCTAGCTTTGCACACGTCTATCATAAAGGATTCTGAAAGTCATTTTTATTAATATACTATAAATTATGACACCACTGAGCATTTTGATGGCTATTCAAACAATATAATACTTAGATATAAAGCTCATAAACTGCTAAACTGTACAATTGGATAAATAAAATGCAATCTCTAACATTTATTCCTGGACAAAGAATTCACTATCATAAATTACATACCAAGAATTAGACTAACATTTTACTGTCGGAAAGCTTCTACCATGAACATTTCAGATTAGGGTGCATAATTAAGTACTAAGCCTTCTGGAAACTTTTACCAGAAAAAAAATAAATAAATAAATAACGATGAGCCAAAGGCAGAGCGTTTGAAATTCTTAAGCACTGAGCACTTACTGGTACTTAGCAACAGAAAACTATTCAGTATGTTTATTAAACTGAATGAAGAAATAATAAAATGCTTCCCTCTCTTCCTTTTCCTTTTTTCCTATCCTATTAAAGAGAAAAATTGTTGCCACCTTTGGCTTTTCATGAATTTCAAATCTCTGGGTTTTCTCTTTTTTCTAATTGGAACACTACCTCATGGCAGTCTTCCGTGACTTCGCCTCTACGCCCACGCCAGCTGAGGAGCTCTTGGGAAGTCCCCTCCTTGGTCCCTCACACCTACCCGTGACTACTGCTGCGGCTTGACTCTGCACGCTGCACACTTCAGGGCTCACCAAGCCAGGCTGTGGAGGAGCCCGGAGGAGACGCGCACCTCAGGAGGGCC